ATATCGATCGGCGACACGACGGCACTAAAATTGTGACGAGGTAGTCGAGTTCTCTGGTAACATCGATGCAGTGTTGGTTGGACGAGTCAGCGTTTCCAACTCAGCGACCACAGAGAGCGAGGAGATTCCCTTTCGTTGAAAAAGCCTTTCGCGATTTATCATAGTTTTTGCACAAATCGATGGTACTGAAAGGAAACGTTCCCATTTTCTATAGATTGTTTAATCGCTGTTCCATTAAGAAATAGAAAATGCTGGCATAATCAAAAAAATGAAGTTCTCCAAGAGTTTCGATGTAATGATCCTTTCTTGACGTTTATTAATTAAATATAAGCCGACATAATTATAATTAATATTCCATTATTAGAAAAATTAACAATCGATTAATATTGCCATCAAGTTATACATAGAGAAGACAATAAATCATCTAAAGAAGAATATTCTATGGAGATTCAAACGCCACTTGCATATTAAAATTAATAAAAACAAAAAAAAAACGGGACAAGTCGCGAGATACGTTCCAAACTTGCGATTCTATTCGGAACCCCCGAAACGAATTAGCATTGAAGTAAAGCGACGGTAAGTGCTCTGTCCAGGCAAACAGCAGGGTGAAAAAGGTGAGAGGTCGCAGACGGCAAAAAGGAAAGAAGGAAGGAAGGAAGAAAAGAAGGTGATAGTCGCGCGGAAGCAAGGCTAGAATCCGTCTGGGAGAACGCGGAAGGGCGACAGAATCGAGGGGGTTCAGCGAGCGGGGGTGGAAGAGAGGAAGAGGAGCCCCGGTTATCGTCAGGAGGGGTTGCATCGGGGCTGATATCGACCGAGGATTGCGCTTGCGTGGAAAAAGGCGCGAGCGCAATTGTACGGTCGTTCCCAGAGAGCAACGGCGCCCTCCGCGTCGAAAGAGGAAAAGCCCTCCTGTTCCCCGTCGTCAGTCGATCGTCGCGTCGACGAGAAACGGGCTGTTACTACCACCATTCGGGAAAGACTTCCGGTTTCTCCTGACAGAGCCGGCAGAGGCCGGGTGTACAACGCGGTGATTCCAACGCCCGCACTGGACCGCACTTCCGGAAGCGAGTTGCCCGGGCGCGACTTCACGGAGATCTCGACTCCGCTCGGCACCGCGTTGTGAGTTCATCATCGTCACCGGGGCACGGGGAAAACCCGCAGCGCAGGCGGTCCGAGGCGGAGGGGGGGCATTGGCGAGGTATATCGGGACGATAAGAGCACGATAAGCAGACCGCGTTTTATAAACGTCTATGCGTGTGCGCACCTCTTCTCTCCTCTCCGCCTCTCTTGTTCTCTTGCTCTCTCCGACCTCGTCCTCGTCATGCTGATAAAAGACGAATCTGGAGTTTTTCTCGAGAAAGACCGTGCCGCTACCAGTTCGGATCTGGCAATGCCCTGTGCTGGTCATTAAGACAGTGCGGCGACTCGACATCTAGAACTGGTGGATTTTTTCAAACTCTGCTCTGTCGTTAATAATGATCTGGGTCACGATCGCGTCCCGCACACCGTGTTCGATCACCATGTTCGGAATATGAAGCGACATCGATGCCTGGCGACTTCATTAGATTTGATATGGAGATAGGTGAATTATATGGATAAATAAATTCACAGATTGAATAATTCGCCATCTATAGAGAGTCTCGGTATCGAACATATTGCACGCTGTCGAATGTACCTATTGACATGTTTCTTCGAGGTAGCAGCGCATGCTTACAAGTTTGATCGAAGGAAGACGCAATGATCAATGTGAGTTATTTTGAAGCGGACGATAAACACGTACATACAGTATGCAGAAATAATCGAAGTCGAGCGTCGAAGTCTCTCGAGGCGTTATCGGAGTTCGGGCTGCCTGGACGCACGGCGCGATGATTAGCATGCAGCAGCAAACGATTTTGAATAATGTAACTGGGCTCGAGCAGCCACAGGAAGAAGTGCAGCTGACCGAATTACTGCCAGTGAAGCAATCGCATATCAGAGAAAATGTCTTCAAGGATACCGACGCGACCGACGCTCTGAGGGCACTCAGGAGTCTCTCGGGCGACTGTAGCGATGGCGATAGCTTTAACCTGAGGGAATTCAACTTCTGCAAGAATGTCGAACAATTGGAACGGCGTAGCAGCAAGCATCGACGATTGGAGGTTTGTCGCAAAAGAACGAAAGAAATCAAGAACAATGCTAAAAATGTAAATTTTGAAGGGAAAAATAGCGGGGTCGCGGAGAAGAAAGTGCGTAACGATAGCAAGATCGCTCGCGTGAAAGCGCCGAAGAGGAAGCTGACGAGCAAGAAGAAGAATGACAACAGAGAAAGTAATTATGGAATGCACGAGAAATTGATTAGGAAGGATACTACCGAATGCGACGAAGAATTCGAACACCATTGTGACGAAGAAGATGAGGACGAACAATTGTACTTGGACATGGAAAAGAAAGACTGCTTTAAGGACGAGATTTACGTATATAGACGGGAACTGTTGGATCCATGCTCTAGTTCGGATCCAGAGGAACTAGGTGCGATCAATCATAAGGAGCTTTCTGAGAATCATCCCACCACGGATGGAGAATTATTTGATGGAAAGAGAAGGTTCGTTGAAAAGATCTCTAACGTAGATAACGAGAAAGAAAAATTTGACTCCAAAGCAGATGGCATTACTGAGAAAGAAATTCCCGAGAAAGAGCTGAGATTAAAAATCGACGCCATCATTCAAGCGAATTACTTGCTGGAGCGCGAAAATAATAACGTTGTAGGTTCCGATGAATCAAAGATCAAAATCGTAGAGCACATTGGCACCTCCTCTGCTGCTGCGGAAACGAGAAAGACGAAGAGGAAGCGAACTGATCAGACCAGACAGTTGAAGGATCAACAGAATCCTCAGAAGAAATACTGCTGTGTCGTATGCGACGCGCGCTTCAAGGGTAGCGGTGGTTTGCGGAATCACTACAAAGTAGTACACGGTGCCGGACCGGTGTTCAAGTGCGACGAGTGCGGTAAGGAGTTTCCACTGAAGGAACGGCTGAAACTGCATGTGCGCACACATACTGGCTTCAAACCGTACAAGTGCCCGGAATGCGATAAAAGCTTCGCACGGGGTGGCCAGCTGGTACAGCACCGTCGCACGCACAGCCAGGTCAGACCGTTCCACTGCAAGCTGTGCTCCAACACCTTCACGTGCGCGGCCAATCTGTCACTACACTTGAAACGTCACAACGGCCAGAAGGATCACAAGTGTGACCTGTGCGGACGCGCTTTCGTGCGACGCGACGCCCTGAAGAAACATCTGGAGTGCCTACACCGTGATGTCAAGTCATTCCTCTGCGCGATCTGCAACAAGACCTTTAAGGGCCATCTCCCGCAACACATGAGGACACACGCGCGCGACCGTCCGCACGGCTGTGCCACGTGCGGCCAACGATTTGCTCAGAAGTCCCAGTTGACCGTGCACCAAAGGACCCATTCTGGCCAGCGGCCGTTTCGCTGTCTAGTCTGCTGGCAAGCTTTCGCTCATTCGACCGCTCTGAAGTTGCACACTCGACGTCATACCGGGGAACGGCCGTTTAAGTGTCCCGAATGCAAAGTCGGCTTCACTCAACTGCCACACTGGAAGAAGCACATGAAGTGTATACATGGCAGGAGCGATCCATACGGCTGCAAGCGTTGCAAAAGCTTTTTCAGGATTAAAAGCGACCTGGAAAGTCATGAGAAGACTTGTCACCCAGAGATGGAGGCGGAGGACGACGATGGTGGCGTCCCGGCAAGTAAACCGGCTGGCTGCTCCGAGATCGTCGAGAAGAATTCTGTCACTGCGAAATATAAACTGATGACGGTGGAGAAGATGCGGTTGCTGTTGGCAGTGCTGTTGAAGAGGATCAGCAAGCAGGAACGGTTGGACGAGCTCGGCTTCGGCAAACGTCTTATCGACGACGTTCTTCAGGATTCCCTGGTGTCTGCTGGCAAAGAACCGGTCACAAGGAGCGGTTTGTCCGAGCTTGAGGCTCTCACCCGAAACTTAGAAATTTTTCTAGAATGGACAGTACCGAAGGAGCATTGGGAGAATTTCCGTAAAATGAAAAAATCGCCCGAAGATATTCTGGAGACGCTCACAGCTACGTAAACGTTTGTCCATTAATAATAATTTTATTATCCTTTACGTAAATATTAAAAAAGAGTGAGATAAAATCAATAGTATAAAGTTATCTCACACTTTTCTACACTCGGTCTTAACTATATCAAAATTTGCATCAAAATTTAATTATTTTGTCCGACTTACTCTTTTTCTTAATATTTTTTCATCCAACTTTACACGAGATTTTTTATTTACAATTTTTACGTTTCTCATGACATGATCTCTATTCATTACCTTTAATTATGAAGACTAATGACGATTTTCAAGAGAATTCTATATATATTTTTAGTCATTTCTAATCACATCAATCGAAGATAAAACGATCAAGGTGATATCGAGGAAGTTTCCGTGTGATATCTGATCTAAAATAATTAACAAATATTAATTTCTGTGGTGCCATGTATCATAATACTTGCCATACTAAACCAGTGAGTAGACCGTGTGATTTAGGGGAGCTAAGCAAATCCTTTTATTTGATCGTAGCATAAGATAAATTGCATCGGAATAGAATATGTATTGTCGAATTTAATTAATGAAAGCCAGGCGTGTTTCTCTCAAACGACGGAAACAACTGCCGCGCTTCTTCGGCGACTGAGGTAGAATTAGACGTTTTCTTGCCATATTTGTTAAAAACACGCATACACACGCTGACGAACGACGGAAAATCATTTTAGCACATACATTTTAATCATAAGCACGACTGTTCGTCAATCGTATAGATACCAAAAGAAAACCAGATATGAGGCTAGCACGAGTCATTTGCAATTATGTTTTTTCATGCGTAATCGTTATATTATCCTATATATTTATAAAGACATCTATATACATATCTATATATATATACACATACACATTTATAAATTTAATATTATGAGATTTTGTTATATATAAATGTGTTCACGGACGCGTCCGCGGAAAATTGATATTCGACAGTCCTGCGCGACGTTCCCGTTGTAGTTGATACTATTATTCGTTATTACTCACTTATACATGCACTCGCGCGCAACTGAGGGCTTGATTGGCCGCGGATGAGTAAACATGTTGGCGTGCCATCATTTTAGATAGTCATAGTAAATGTGAGCAGACAATAAAGAACGAAGGTTACAAGTTTAGTATTATATTAGTCATTGAAGAGAAGAAAGAGAGATATATATATTATATCCATATACACACATTATATATACTTATATACATATATATTGATATTAGGTGAATATATGCTGATGGACGCGAGGGGAGAGGAACACATTATCTTTTTCTTAAATTGATTCTAAAGATGCTAAATTCCAGAAAAGTAATAGCAATTTATTTTATCTCGATAAATGAAAGTCAAATTTTACAGTAATATAAAATACTGTAATGTAAGATTGATGCAAATAATTCTTTTTATAGACGAAGACGTTTTTGCTAGCGCATAAAATCAAAATTGACTTGGTATTCCTACACGCAAAGTTCCTTTCCTCGACGTACCATGAGGATATTTCTCAATTGTGCGTTTGGATAAAAATAGTAAAAAATATTGCAATCGGAGGTGCTATTTTGTGCGATATAATCGTTTGCAATACTTGAAGTTATTGCTTGAAAAGAAATTTGTTTTCTAAACTTTCTTTTCGGCGCGCAAGAATAATCCAAAGACTTTGTTCCTTTCATTGCCAAATATATCGTACTGTATGTATCGTTACGTTTTATATGATTTCAATTTTATTGTAGGCACCGAGGTATATTTTGCGTTTGTAAAGCGAGAGAAAAGTAAGGAAGCAATATGAGTAACTTGTATTCATGCGTGTGACGCACCTTAATGTATTAACATGAGCTCGAATGTATTGGCGTACGCGGTGACTTAGCATTTTCAAATTTATTCGAAAGATCGAAATCTATACTTTGGTTGTGGATGCAAATGCGGGTCGGAGTGCACTTTGAATATAGATCGAGGTCGGAGGAGAGCCATTTCGAATAGTCGACAGGAAGCGTAGCTTCCCACATTTCCTCAACGAAATCCACTAACTCGATGATTTTGAGTTACGGTGCCAAATCAAGTAAATAGCGCTCTAGAGAATGATTGTCCTGTGTCTTTTGCGAATTTTATTCTTTTTTTCGCGCGAGATCACGAATTTAATATTCGAATCTCATTTTCTTTTTGACATCGATGAAATCGGGATGCTACTTATTGTTTTTCTTTAGTGCCATAAACTAAATATAGTCATATTTGTACATTAACATAATGTGCGATGTGTGGGAGAAGACAATTTGAATAAACACGTTTCTTTATTTGCTGGTTTTCTTTCTTCATTAATATCACTCTCCTTTTCATTCTCATGAAAAGAAATTAATAATGCGTTCCAATATGCATCATTATATATATGTAAATTTATATAAATAATGATTAAAATTGCTTTATTTGTTCACACGCTATTTGTATAATTGCATAAGAAAAATATATGAACTTAAAGTAAGATATCTATAAAAAAAAACATGTATAGTATTTATTAGAGTTACTCTAGTGAGAGTCGAGACACAAAACCAGAAAGACGTCATGTTTCAGTCTTATCGGACTCGACTCTTAAGTGACTCTAAAGTGACTCTAGTATTTATCACATATATCAAGTCATGAGCTTCACATACCGCGATAGAAAATTTACGTATAATTAATAAGATTTTTCAAATATCCAGTTAAATATGAATGGTTGTCTCATGTCCACTTGCAAACCAGTGATATGTAGGCTCTGAAATAATTTTTATGTTTTAAAATTCACCTTTTATTATGCCGTTTTGTGTTTTCATCATTATTTAATAAAACACTTACCAATGTGGAAAGATCAAATGAAAATCCTATCTCATTGTTATTTAGGAACACTCTGGCGACTGGTCGTAATCCAAAGATCTGTACTGTTCCCAGAATTACCTCTTCATTAAAAGAGCCTTTATCCATTTCCACATTCAATAAACTTGATTGATTTGCAATGAAAGACAGCCACAAATATTCTTTCTTTTTTATGGAATCTATACATTAAAAATAATTAGCAGTCAAGATACAATTCAATATACAATCATTTAATACAAGATATATTTTACCTAAGCTATCACCATCATCCCAATACAGTTCTCCTATGGCATTTTTAGTTTCATTCAATGTTACTATTAATTCAAAATTGTTTTTTCTGCTCTCTGTCGTTGTTACACCCGGTTCCTGTGCTGGAAGAATCGAACCTGCACGAATCAATAATGGTATTTCGTCAATCGGTGCAGAGAAGGTATAGTATTTCCCGATGGAAAAATAGGAATTGAAGGTATAATAATCATACCACAAACCACGTGGTACATAAACAGTTACCACAGTTTTGTTCTGCAAAATATAATCAAAGCGATTAACTAAATATCATAGTGTCTCACATTATGTAAATAATATAAAATAAATTGATGACATACCTCTTCGAGAACTGGATTGATCATAAGCGAATTTCCCCAAAGAAATTGTGTATCAATGTCGTAAGTTCGCCGATCTTCGGTAAATCTATTAACATTCATTATATTATATATATGTATATTATATATATTATTCATAATATAGGTACGATACAAAGCATCAATACGTACTCAAAGAAAAGTGGCCGTGCCACGGTTTCCCCAAATTTATGTGCTTTGAAAAATAAGGTGTACAAATATGGTAAAAATCGATAACGTATTCTGAGAGAATTTTTTGACGATTGTACAACCAAATCACCCATAGCAACTGGATCTTGTTCCTGTGTATATGTATATTTATACATTTATATATTATATTGAGAATACTTCAAATTCAATAATTATTATTGAAATTATATATCGATGCATCGGCACTCACAATTGTATCATCGGAATTATGATTTCGAGAAAATGGATAAAAAGCACCAAGTTGCATCCAACGATTGCACAATGTAGTAGTTGTGTTTCCATTAAAACCGCAAATATCTGCACCCACCATTGGAATTTGATAGAAATTGAATGACAAAATAGCTGGAATACTCATCTTTAAATCATGCCTGATAAAATGATTTTTTAATTAGTTACATAATGGAAGTATGATGAGATGTACATTAAGATGGATTCTAATTACCATGATGAATAAACGTCACCTGTCCAATGACCCGCATAATGACCATGTCCTACCCATGTCGAACGCGATATTATAAATGGTCTCTTTAATCTAATCTTCCTAAGAGCACTGCACATAGTTTCAAATAGGATAAATTTTTAAAAGATGGAACAATAATAATCTGCTCGTTATTGAAATTACAACATAAAAATATATAAAGAAAAACCGATCAAAGCGCAAAGACGAGCTAATAAAAATTAGGATCTTATAATATTAATTAAATTTAATGTTTAATATACATTAAAATATATATAAGCAAAACTAGTTTTAACTTTGCAAAGTCTTCATCAGTCGCATAAAGTTTACATTACAAATTGATTAAAATATAAATAATCAAAAATCGAAAAAAGTAAAAAGTCACGGAAAATTATAACAATTATGTCCAGTATAGATGCAGTCCATAATCTCGCAGCCACAATCGACGGATCATTGCGTTCTCAACCGTTGCTAATATTAGAAGTGAAAAATTTTTACCAATCTTATTCCATAATTGATTGGTCGCAATTTATATATGGTTGTTCGTCATTTCGTTTTCTAACTGTTGACAATCTGATATGGAAGTTGTACCATAGCTTATCTCATTTGTCAAGATTGATTAAAGATTGGTATTTTAACTGATCAGGAGATATCAAAAGAGCAATCAAGTTTTGGTCATAACTGCGAGACATTATGGATTGACTGCACATATATACTAGATGTAATTAATATAATTTTCCGTGACTTTTTTTACTCTTTCTGATTTTTTATTTGTTTTAATTAATTTGTAATGTAAACTTTATGCGACTGATAAAGAAACTTGAAGTTGAAACTAGTTTCGCTTATTTTAAAATGTATATTAAATATTAAATTTAATTGATATTATACAAGGTGTCTCAAAAATATATAGCAAAACTTTAGTATCATATTCTACCATCCCTAAGAATGAAAAAAGATCATATAAATATAGGAAGTCGGAATTCCGTTCGTCAATACACATGAAATGTCCACTCGATATTGGAAATCATCTTGATAACATTATCTTAACCATGCAACGTTTAGAAACTAATTGACTACGATAAGCTGCCTATCATTTGCTCTACCGCAATATTTACTTCATGTGATATTATATCTGTCCATATAAACTTTCGAGATAAACAAAAAGTGTTTATATTTCAAAAAGGAAGAATTTCCGGACCTATGATTAGATGACTTTTTTCGTCCTTAGGAACAATAGAACATGATATTAAAGTTTGGCCACCTATTTCTGAAATACTCTATATTAATAATTAGTATAAACATCCTAATTTATTCTATTATTATACCTATATTAGCACATCTTTAGTCGGTTTTGCTTTATATTTTTATATTATAAATCTTCAATTCTCTATAAAAATTGAAAGATTACAGATTGATTTTTTTACTTACTAATTTGTAGTAATCGCTTGGCTCATTCCATAAGTATTGTGAAGATCATAATGAATGCCCAAATAATGTTTCGCATTCATGCAAAGAGTTTTCGTAGCGAGGAAACCGCCAACAACATTGGGAATATATTCGGGATAATCTAAATTATTATGTGTACAACCATTCTTATTACCATTGTAGAAATTGGATGGTTCATTCATATCCTTGATGATTGAAAAATTTAAAGTTTTAAATTTTAAGAATAACTCAATAATATCAAAGTAATTTTTAACATCAATACTTACAATCCATGCACCATCGTACGCGAAATTGTTATGCATATCGCCCATCATATTTGCGTAGTAGATCATAGTTTTAGGATTTGTGAAATCGGGCCATACTGTAGAATGAAGATTCCAAACTTTACCGATGAAAGGTTTATCGGATTCACCGTCTTTTACGAATATATCTTGTTTTATTCCTTCATCGTAAGGCAGATAAGAACCATTATCTTCGGAAGCAGATATGCCGGCATCAATTAAGGGTATATAATGTATTCCTGCCTAAAATAGAAAACAATTGCTGTGACAAATGCTGACTTATCGATTGATCTTATCGAATCTTTCATACAAGTATACTATACCGAGTGAATTTCTTCTACAAACTTAGGTAAATCTTTGAATTTCTCTTTATTATATGTAAAATCATTATTTTTGTCCATATAATCCAGATCATTCCATTGAGTATCCTATAAACACAATATGATTCATCATAATGTATAGCTTATATTCTGAACATTTTAAAAAAGTTATAAAAGTAGATTACAAATGGGATTCCAGCTGCTCTCGTTCTGTTCCATACTGCTTTAGTATTTTCCAGCGATTCATATCCATATCTAATCGATGTACAAAATATTAATGTAATAATCGCATGTTGAGAATATTATTTTATACTGATATAATACCTGCATAAATGGAAACCAAGCGACCAATAGGGTGGCATAAATGGTTTGCCTACAATTTCAGAATATTGTTTCACTACATCGGCTGGAGTCGGTCCCAGGAAAAAGTAAATATCAAAAATACCACCGATTGTTCTAAACGTTATAGCCGGTGTAGGCTGCAATATCACATCTAAAATATATGAAATTATTTGGAAAATAAAATTGTATATCATATATCTGTTTTAGAAAAAGCAAAAAGCGTACCCATAGCATTACTATTTAGAAATAAAACTCCATGAGCCATTCCAGATTCCTCCATAATAATATAAAATGGATGAGCTCCATACAGATTTGCCTAATTAGATAAATAGAAAAGATATTATTCGCAATAGACAGTAATAATCCATTTGTCATATATATGATAAAATTGAGCAACATACGTTTTCCATTGGCGGTTGATCTTTATTAAATAGAGTGAATATTTGCCAATTAGTATTTAATTTTAAGCTCGATCTATGCTCGCCAATACCATAAATGTTACTTGTTGGTAACAATGAGCTCATTTGTAGAAACTGGTCAGCAAATATGAAACCTCCAATCCCAATGGAATTAAATCTGCATACAGAGTATATTAGAAAAATAATTTAAATAATTTTCATAATTTTGTTTAACAATCAAAATTATAAAACTTAATTTTTACAATTCCATTAAAACCTTACCCATTAAACATCAATTAACAGTAGTATGACATCAACGTTATAATTTCACCTTCAACGTAACTGTTATGTACAATATGTCATATTATATTTATATTGTTGAGTGTAAAATTATAAATTGATGTCATACGACTGTTAATTGATGCTTTTACTGAGTATAGATAATATTCTGAATACAATATACAAAGTAATTTATACTTACAATGTTGTGCCATCACTGATTCTATTGACTTTAAAGCCAGGTTTTACATCATCGCTATTAAATTGATATTTCATGTCAGCAACTCGATATAAAAATGGTTTCGGATCTGATCTAATTGGCCAAGGTGGTTCATATCGCGTTTTAAAGGGATCATATATCTAAAAATTGTACGTTATTCTTTTATTATAGTGCGATACAAAACTTAAATATTCTATAAATATTTATTATACCTTCACACGCAGAATTGAGCTGTCTATGCTTGTGGCTTCTACCTTGACAAGGGGCACATTGTTCTTGTACACAGATTCTTTTTCTTGACTGAGAAAGCCCAAGAAATTACTTCCATCCTGACTGTGGTTAATGTATTTATACAGATTCCATCCATCGGGATAGTAACAGTAAGGAATATACAGCAGTAAATCCTTCTTATTTTTGTTACTTTCCCGAGGATTCCAACAACATCCTCTGTTTATGCAAGAAAGTTGCGATGCTCCGTCCTCTGGATGACAATCAAAGCGTAATATTTCAGGAACATTGCTGCATTGCTTTAAATATATGCATATAATATAATAATGCAGTAAACACAAATATAAATGACATGTTATCTGTTTTTCTTATAATAAAGAGATTTAGATTTTGCTTACTTGAGCATTGTTAAAAGCTGTGTTTTCTTCAGATAAGTTACTTTCTTCCTTTAAAGGCACTATTTTACGATCATACGTTTCTTCTTCAATGTATATATCAGGAGTATCCACTAATATATGCTGATATCTTGTCTCCTCAATGCTATTGTTATTTATATCAATCGTAAATTCCACTTCTGCATTGTAACTATTCATAGTACATAATGGATTTATAATCGCGTATAATAATGGAAGACCAAGATGAAACAACAATAAAGCCGTGATGAGACAGAAGAATAACGTCATTATCATACGTTTTATATTATGACGTTTATCAATATTCAACTCTTCTTTTTCATGTTTTTTCATTGATGGCTCATAGAATTTATTGTTTAATGTTTTAACCACAATGGAATTAAATTTCTCCATAATTTTGTTTGAATGATCTTTGGTCGTACTGTAACATCCTGATTTTTCAGAAATATCCTGTCCACTTGCCTCTACATCAGCCATTCTTCAAGTCTTTGATCAAAACCCTGCTGCCACAAATAATTCTTACCAAGTTGTGTCTGAAAGCGATAATTATTATGAACAATTTACACGTAAATATACTTGTACATACAAAGATTACACAATCATTACTATCAGTAGAACAAAATAATGTTTTTTTAATCAAATCTAAAATTAAATGCATATAAATATATATATTTAAATGAGTACTTTTAAATGTGGACTGCTTTTGAGCAAACTATAATTTTGTTCGCTTAGGGGCTCCGCACAATAAAAGGAACAGGGAACAGAGAACAGAGAATAAGAATTTCAACCTATCAGAAATTATGTATTGTGGAATACAGGTTCCGATAGGTTGAAATTCTTAAGCTGGAAACACAATAGACACAGGCAATAGGCACAGGCAACAGGGAATAACGAGCTGTTCAATCAGAGCTCTGGAGTATAAGTTCGATATTATATCCCAGAGCTGTGATTGGACTGCTCGTTATTCCCTGTTGCCTGTGCCTATTGCCTGTGTCTATTGTGTTTAAGACTTTATTCTCTGTTCTCTGTTCCTTTTATTGTGCGGAGCCCCTTACTGATAATGTTATGGGGCGATCCTATGGTGCGGAACGTATACTTACGCAATGCGGAATTGGCGGAACGATGTCCGTTCAATCGCAAGTATTCCGTCAATTGCGCTCCACCGATGTCTTTTTTAAACCAATCACAAGCGTTCCGCCAATTCCTAATTGCGCCAATTCCGCGTCATGGGACCGCACCATTATCGTCCTAATGCACGTATTTTTACACGAAAAATATATTGCGTTTTATACTACGCATTTTAATATATTCCTTAGAGATATATTCAGATTGATATAACCTGAAAATTATCGAAATTATATGTATTCGTTGCACAAATACGCACTAGACTTCTAAAAATAATATTCTGCACTTTAGGATATATCATTATGTACAAAGAACTCACCGTATTATTTTCGAACACAGAATCTCGCATTCCGGTTCTCAACCGCTCGCTGCACTTTGTCGCTATCACTATGGCCGGCCGTAATGCATAATGAACATCTGATCTTGCCTCGTGTGTATTGGATCTTTGTATGTATTTTCACGCACCGTGTGCGTCATACATATATCATCTCTGTTTAGACTGTTGAACTCATGATGTAAGATATGGGAATTTTCCAGTAAAAGATACATATCGACGTAGAGAGAAACCGTTCTATCTTCGTTTGATATTGGAGAGAGATGAAAATAAAAATAGAAATTAAATAAAAATTCTTATTGATTATGTATCCATGGTGGAAGAACCACAGATGTACCAATGATGTGATATATATGATATATCTTTTTATATCTTTAATATAATACAACAAACCTTTACATTTTATATATTACCTTTATATTCTATTTACATTATATTATTTTTATAATATATTTACATTATATTATACTTTTATATTGTGTTTACATTATATTACAATATTCCAATATACTCGAAGATATATGAAGATATATGAAAGAAAACAAAATAGAAAACACTGTTGTAAAAATTACAAGCAAATTTACCATCCTTCTATTGTTACCGGCTTATCAAACATTTAAGAAAACAGTCGTTAAGCAAAGTTATCATTAAGCTGACAATGAGTCAGAATTTGTTCGATATCTACTTATCAGTTTTTTCAAAATTTCTCGTTATACGTTTATCAAAAATACGTATTATAATAATATGTATCATTATACGTTGTTCATATCTTTTTAAAGTAATGTAATAAAGCAAACAGATGGTTTTATATTACTGCATCTTTGAACCTGTAAATCACATTGATTAACCCGAAGCACGGTGGGAATTCAGATTCCCACCTCTTTGTAATTCATTTTTTTATATTTCTCAATTAAAATTTAATTTTGTTACAAATTTTTGCGGTTTTACTTCAATAAGATGTTCGTAAGTGCAGAGAAATGTATGTTTTCCGTTAATTTTTTGTTTCATTGTTTATATTAACAAAGTGTAAAAAATAGTGTATTTTTCAGAAAAAATTCATGTCGAAAACAAAAAGTTACTTGATTAGGACGAAATTGGGTACTCGAGGGTTTTCGAGGTCGCTGATCACGAATGTGAACTAAACATTTCATAATTCAAAATGGCAGATCCAATATATGTGTAAATAGATTAGAGGGTAAAAAAAATAAAGTTCATGTGCGGGAGATGCGAGTATGGTATTCCGACGTATTTTAGCCGCTGAACACGAATATGGTTATAGTTTTGCTCCATCACGTCAGGAATTTTTTATAACCTCAGAAACACTAAGAAAAGCGTTATATCCAGCTAAGCAATTGCATTCTTGAACAAATTTTTTCTCATTTATGCCTGTCATCTTGGATTCGCCATTTTGAATTTCTAAGGTCGAAAATCTGGGGAGATTCGTAATCAGCGACCCCGAAAACCCTCGAGTAACAAATTTCAACTAAATTCTATGTAAAGAAAAATGTATGCTTCAAAAAGTTAAAGTAGCAAAGCACGAAGTTTTAAAATGAAAAGTTGGATTAACACAAAATGCAACTTTATTACAGATTTAAATAAATCAATCTTGAATCACTAAATATGATATATATGTACTTGATATATATACCATAATTGTAGTCTAATGAACTGTGCACCGAAATATTTCCGGACTAAACACAATTAAATCACTGTAGTAATTTCCTCTATATATACCGATTATTGCGAAGAATATTACTAAGGCCTCGGTGGTCTAATAGCTCAGGACGCTCGTACGGAATACAAGAGATCCGGGTTCGACTCCCGGCCGAGGTAATATTTTTCGCAATAAGTTTAATTTAGTTTTTTAGCATATTAATATCTTTGAAATATGATGCCTGATTGAGCATCGAAATTATTAGAATTTTAATTTAATTCGCGAAATTATTACAGTGGTTTAATTGTGTTTAGTCCGGAAATATTTCGGTGCACAGTTCATTAGACTACAATTGTGATATATATGTCAAGTACATATATAGCATATTTAGTGATTCAAGATTGATTCATTTAAAGCATTTTAAAATTTAGCTTCGACCATATAGGGCTCTTATTTATCGGTTGTGTCTCTCACATACGCGGTCTAAAAATGATATTATTGTTTATTACAGATTTAATCAGCAAAACAAGCGAGTTTACAAATAAATTTTTATACAAGATTTTGCGTTGTTACTGGGAATTATTGGGACAATTCTCTTTTTCTTCTTTACACTTTCGAACAATATCTGAAAGCAAAAATATTTTTTTTGTAATTCTCATGAAAAGTCAAATATATTTTCTTCCAAAATATATTAAAATCTTACTCTTGCAAATTTCGTTTAAAACACTAACGATTGGCGAATCTGGCATCTCCGTCAGAAAATTTTTACCCTCGTCGCAACATCTAGCTAGCAATGGATCTAAAGGTATGGAGCCTAAGAATTCTACATTTAATTCGTTCGACATCGTTCGTGCTCCACCTGACGAAGCTGGGAATATTTCTGCGGCATTCTGTGTACAAAGATGTTTCGTTAATCAGATCCTTCCATTTTTTTCTTTTGTTCTATTCCAGGGCTCGGCAAAATTTGCACTTCTCGGCCGATTTTCGAGAGACTCCGCCTCCTATTACTCCTCTCACCGTTCACCCCGCGCGCAGTCCAAATGCCGCTCGACGTTTAGGAGCTCATATGACGCTCGTAGACATGAGATCCACGCTTTGGGCGCTCATGCTGTAAACTTCATTCTACTTTTTTTTGTTCATTACATAACTAAGATAGAATGAAGCAACGCGTAAAATCGAGTGCTTACGCGTTGCTTCATTCTTATCTTAGTTATGTAATGAACAAAAAAAAGTAGAATGAAGTTTACAGCATGAGCGCCCAAAGCGTGGATCTCATGTCTACGAGCGTCATATGAGCTCCTAAACGTCGAGCGGCATTTGGACTGCGCGCGGGGCGAGCGGTGAGAGGAGTAGCGAGAGGCAGAGCCTCTCGAAAATCGGCCGAGAAGTGCAAATTTTGCCAAGCCCTGTTCTATTCAAATGGTCCTTACTTTGCATTTAGGACATATGAAGATACTCATGTTCTCAACCACACCCAAGATTGGAATATTCACTTTTCTGCAAAAGTCTATTTCTTTCCTGACGTCTAAGAGAGCAACTTGTGGCGGTGTCGTGACAATTATGGCACCCGTTATGCCGGCACCTTTTAGATATGACGTAGCTGACAAATGTTCGTCTGATGTACCAGGCGGTGTATCCAAAATGAGATAATCTAAGCTACCCCAGTCAACTTCTGATAGAAACTGCTTGATCATACCTGAATATATACAGATACATTTATTTACAATGAAAATCATACAGATTAATATAATAAGAATTATAAAAAATGAAATCTTAAAAGTACGCCGATACCATTCTTCTTTGGTCCTCTCCAAATAACTGCAGCATCTGGACTGCTGAGCAAAAAACCAATCGACATTAGTGATAAGTTATCCTCGATATACTAAAACAAAATCTGCAGTGTTATATAATAGGTTTTTTATTGGTATAATAATTCTGCTTTAAGGAGTTTACTTACTACAGGCGACCATCCTGATCCACTTTGATGAACTTGTTCACCAAGTGCTCCCAGTACCCTTGGCTGTGATGGTCCACAAATGTCAATATCCAGTACTCCCACCTAAATAAGACAGACAAGATTTGAAATATCTCTTTAATAAAATTTATATTATCAAATTTTTCAATATATATCACAAAGATTAATTAAATTATATTTGGTGTTGGTATTTATATAAAAAATATAAATACAGATACAATTTAATTATATTGTATCTGTATTTATATCTCTGAAATACTAAAATACTGACTGGAAATACTAATAATAAGAATGAGAATACTAAAAGTTTGATAATCAATAAGGAACTGGCACTGGTTGATACGACATATATAGCCATTAGTAGACTATAGATATTCTCTGTCTGAGGTTATTTCCTACAAACTAGCTGCTAGGCGTTCACTATGTCAACATGTACATTGAAAATCATATGGATGTACTTGGAATGGGCAAAAGAGTGAGTTATTATATTAACTTGTTTTTTAACTTTATATAAATGTGAGGTTATTTATGTGACAGTAAAATATATGGTATTTATGTTAGCATGGCATAACACAGAACATATAAGACAAATTAGATACAAAAGATAAAGAAATCAAATATTTGTTCCAAACAACGTTTGTATCACACAATATTTTTCTTTTCAGTTATGATTAGTTACATGCTTACATTTCTGTCAGGATTATTTGCTGCAAGACACCTGGATAGCAATGATGTCACAGTACTCTTGCCTACTCCTCCTTTGCCTGAAAGCACTAGCAGCTTATTCCGCACTGAAGAAAGTCTTTCTTTCACAAGCGCAATACCAGGATCTGGTTGCTTGGCAGCTCCGGACGAACACAGCGACTGATTCGGGCATCCTGCACAAGCTGATGCTTTGCCAGCACTTTCACTCTGGGTTCCAGGACAATCTAAAAATTTCATGAGTTTCTTAACATTTGGAGCACTTTCTAAATATATATATATAATAGAAATGATTTGGCGCAGAAAAAGAAAAATGATGATTCATACATAATATCAATATGACAAAAGATAGCTTATTTCATCACTTCAAGTGAAAACTAGTTAGTATTTTTAGTATTTTTAAAATGTAACATTAAAAAATATACGCTTCATAAACAATGAATGAAAAATTAAAAATCAAAATTAAAATATATAGTGGTTCTAACATAACCTTTAATTCTGACTCACATTAGCATAATATAATATATATAAATGATACATATCAATAATTGTGTAATTTTAATAAATATCAAGTTTATATGTCTTTAATTAATTCGATTTATTTATAATACCGATTAAAATCGGATTGCATATACAACTCACGTTCGGGAGCTTCGCTAGGTACATCTGCCATGTTGGATCATTAATTTTTTCTGATATAAGTACACATTGATAAGTGTTGTTATGCCATGGCACACAAAAAAACTTAAACAGTAAAACTTAAGCAGTAAGGAAATCAACATTTGGATTCGCTATTGCTTATGTTACGGCCTTACCGACTCTACCGTGATGGGTCAATTCACTTACTGCTTATGTTTTACTGCTTAAGTTTTTTTGTGTGCCATAGCCCTAATTGTATAAGGGAACAAAAAACTTTTTCAAAATGTACTACTATATTTCTATTGTTATATTTTGTTATTTTTTCTTTTTTCAAGAAGAAAAAATAACAGCTGATATAACAATCAATAGAACATTATTTTATCATAATGATTCAGGATAGTTTAATTTTTTTAATAAACTTTTTCTATTAAAAAACGTGGCTCTTTTATTTTAATTTTTTTCATCTCACAATTAATGTCTGATGTATAATAGATATGTGTGTTTCATTATATTAGAATAATTATTATATTTCTATTATAATCTATAGATTTATTTAGCAGAACACATAATTGATTATTATTTATTTCTCAAGATTTAATGAAACTATTACTTTCCTGTCAGAAAAATAATTCTAAATAGGAACATGCTGATATTAAATACCTATAAGTTTAGGATATAAGATATATGTAATTTAAACTCTTCAAACACACACAAAGATGAAACAAAAAACAATTACTTTTTAACTATACATTTTAATATATTAATTTGTAGCAATTGCAACCATGGAGTACAGTCGCAGGTTCAATGTCTTATATGGAACCAGTAGTTCCGATCCGTATAGGTGACTATACTCGTACACACCATTTATTACCATGGAGACCGAATGTTGGATTCGAGAATACAGAAGTTATTCCCTTGTAAGTAGATTCAACATTTTTTCTCTTAGAATTAGTTACGATTCATTTGCTTTAGCATCACTCCTATGATAACAACTATGAGACATCATGCTTTGAACCCTTTATAGAATATTGATTTAACAAACAGATACTGTACTTTTGTATATGATTTAACAACTTTGCTTTACTATATCTCTGCCGATTCTTGGTAAATCCTCACCTTACCCTTATCCTCGTCTTGAATAAATATCTAGCACACAGATCTAGACATGGATATGAAGTATATAATTATTATATTATTTTCTTGCAGAGTCACAAAGTCGATATCAAGTTATGCACTGGACGCAAATAATAAAATGAGTACAAGGCCGTTGAAATTTCCAAATCTAATCACGGGTTATCAACGCAACCCTGTTCATGCATCACAAGCCGCCCTTTATACGAGATACACACCGCACGAATGGTTTCAGAAACAAGTGAAATATTACAACGAGGCAGATTCGCAGAGGCATTATTCTGAGAGGACGCGAAATGATGCTCTGAGAATTATCAGGTATTTCTTCAGATTAATTTTTAAATATATTATGTATAAAACCGATATTAAATCTGAATTTCAAATATTTTTCAGAAATGCCGAGGAGAAGATACAGCATGGTCAATATGATACCAGCCGAAGACTTGGTGAAAGAATAAACGACATTACTTTTTGGCGCAACGAAGTAGCAGCGGAACTAGAGAGAATGCTTCATGAAATTGAGCGACTCCACGATTGCCGAAATATTTTAGAAAAGGCATCACGAGATATTGAAGGACCTTTACACATCGCAGAAGAGTGTCTGTATCACAGGGAAGCTAGAAAAGGTATGCAAAATATTGTAAAACTATTTTTAACTTATATATTTCATGTTTTAGATATTGTGCATGTAAAAAATTACAATAAATAATTTTATATTTTAGGTACAGAATTGGTACATGACGAGTCAGAAAAATGTTTACTGCGAGAAGTAGAAAACTTGCGGACAAACCAAAAGAAACTGGAAATCTGTTTGGATAAATGCAAAGATCAGGTAAATTATACCTTAACTTATATGATAGTAGAATTCCTAGTTAACTGACACGATTAAAATAATTAATATTATCTGCTTGTAGTTACGAAATTGCAGGGCTTCGCAGAATCAACTAGAATTGGATTTAAAGAATAAGGAGAGTGCCTTGGGCATAGATACTATTTGTCACCAATTGAGCAATCACACTCATGGATTACAATATTATTCTGGAATTGAGAAATATGATCCATGGTATTTAATTGTATAGTATTTGTATAATTTTTAATAACTTATAATTAATTTTTAGTTTGTTAGTGTTTCAGAGCAAGAAACCTGGGCAGATGCAGTGAATAGAATAGTGCAAAGATCCCAAACGGAACGGAACAAATCCTGTCAATTACGCACCACTGCCGAAAGTCTAGTAAATAAAGTCGCTCAGGAAATGTGGAATACTTGGAGTAATACCAACAATGCTTTAACACATAGATCGTCCGAATTACTTGAGGCTAAGAACAAGCTGCAACAGCATTTGCAAAAGGTACAAGGTGTTACGCGCGTAACCTTTTCGAAAATTAAACGCGATTCGTGAAATATTACAGGTGCAACAAGAAATATTCGATGTTGAAAAAAATTTGGAATTAATGCGTAAGGCTATCGCGGACAAAAGTTATGCGACCAAAGTTGCACATACGAGGATGGAAGCGAGGATGCATCGTCCTGATATGGAATTATGTCGTGATTATGCCTACACAAGGTATATAACTTTATAATGTACCAGCAATATATATATGTCTATATATATATATAAAATGTCTATGTATATATATATATATATATATATGGACATTATTTGAAAATACTATTCTTATTCTGCAGCCTTCAGAAAGAGATTGACGAAATAAATCATCAACTTGAGCGAATGCACAAGACGTTAAAAGAACTTGAGAATCAACATCAGAAACTGCTGCGAACTCGAACTATGCTCGAACATGATCTTGCCTTGAAAATAGACGCAATATATATCGATAAGGAAAAAGTTTGTGGTCTTAGACGTGCGTATCCTGTTAACGCATTATTTAGATTTTAAAAGTATATTCTCTGTTAATGCCGTGCTCTACATATGACTACTGCCATTTATGAGAATGTTTAGTCGTGTCATCACTTGAAATACACTCCTAAAGGAATTTAGGCTACGTGATATTTCCATAAAAAGGAGGTTTGAAAAAATATATTACATATTAAATATTTATTTGTTTGTACAATTATCATAATTATGCTAGAACTATTAAACATAATTAAGCTTTACTTTGTTGAATGACTTTTGGCATAGCTCGGTACAGGCAAATTAAATCCTGGTTTGGACTCAAAAAACGTATAGGAGAGAACTATTTCGTCAACAAACTCCATTTTTGGATCCTCTATGAATTCTGGATCAATGAAGAAGAACACTGGCATGTCAACCTTAATACACAAGAATATATATAATAATTTATGCTACTCACTGCCTAATTTAATCATATATATTATATAAATGTTCATAATTTCTGTTAAAGAATAACAACTGATATTAAGAAAATAGAAAATATAGCCGTTGTTAAAAACAGAAAAAACTGGACTGTAGATTATTTTATTTGATGCTAAGGAACTTACTTGTTCATGTGGGTTAAGCATCTGTTCCTCAAAACAGAAGCATTGTATCTTATTAAAGTATTGTCCTACGTCGAATGGTAAAACATTATACGTGGATATTCCTACAATTTGGTTATCGGTTGGATTTGTGGCTGTATAAAATGCTAAAGCCGTCTCTCCAGGAACAACTGTAATCTCTTTTTGCTGTGGTTTGAAGTTCCATTGCATCGACGATGCCACATCGGCATTGAACATAATTTTGATCTTTTTGTTCTTAATAGGTGTCATTGTGGATACTTTACTAGCATCATGACCAGCTGATACCGTTCCACCATAACTGTATGACTACAGAACAAAAAGAAAATTCAATAAAGAAAAGAAATATTTGTACTGATGCTGCTACATGATAAATTCGCATTACACTGGATTAATGTATACTAAAAGCTGTTTTATATAAAGTATTTATATGCAATGGCATAATATAATCAACTTTGACAATAAAATAATATATGTATATTCTATTAAATAACGTGGCAGCATTATTATTGAATATTCAATCATTTAAAATATTTATATGCCTTTTAAAGGAGATGAAACGTATGAATAAGAATATAAAAAATTAAAATATTTAATATAAACCAAGTCCCTTGGCTTTTAGGCCAAAAATAAAGTTTAAATATTTATTATGCTTTTATATTTAACTTTGTTAATTTCATGTGCAGCTTTCATATACAGCTTTATTATATCATTAATTATAAACAGCTTTTTTATATTACTAATCTAGTGTAATGCAAATGATAGAATTTAATAATAATTATACAAATGATATTCAATTTATTAAATATGAGATCAAGCTTAAATTAAGATGTAAAATAATCCTTAGAGAATCACAACTGCACCTGGCAAAACATTCTGTACAAAGGCACTGCAGAGTAACTCAAACCAACTACCAGAACTCCGATTCCAGACCAATAAAAGGCAGTAGAATGTAATTTCTTTCGGAACGTGTTAGAATGGTCTTTCATTAAATTTCGCGACACGCTGGTGTATATTTGCCTCACGCATGTTCGTGTCAACAGTCGACAGATGTTCCGGTACATCTCTTTTTAGAATTTCTCTATTACTTAAAATCGATTCTGTAACGAGGTGAAAATTACAAAAGTGAGCGAATTTACTAGAATACTAATAATTTCATTGATCAACACTTAGTAAATTTGCTCACTTTTGTCATTCTCACTTTGTTTGAAGATACAGAATCGACCCTCTGGTCCTGTCAATCCAAAGAAGTTAACCTAAACGCAACAACTTTATATATTCGGGTCGTCGAGTGGCTTACTGCTCGGTGCGATATGCTGGATTCACACTGCATCCGATTTTCG